TTTAGGTTAATCGTTTTAAAATTTCTAGGAGATAATCCATAATTTATTAAGAATAATAAAGTAAGTCTGCGGTAATGGAATTCGTATATTTCCATTTAATCATTTACTTACAACTATTCGATATACACGTAGTATTTCTACTTTGCATCGATATGAGAAAATGTTAATACCAAAGAACGAAAGATTATTATCCTTCAATATATAGTATGTTCGTAGCATTACTCCATTTTAAAAAGTTTCACTGGTTGCAATCATATATATATATAAAATTTTATCGAATGTGAAATACAATTTGAAAATGTTCATCAGATGTACTATATACAGGATGATTCACCTGATTTTAGATCTATAAATGATTCAACCTATTATGCCTTAATTACTTATTTACTTAGTTTGTGATATTCTTATAATTTCCGTAAAGAAATTTTAAAAAAAGTTTTTTGGTGTTACATTAAAAAGCAACAAGGTAACCTTCAAAACTTTATATGTAAATAATGTAGAAAAAAACATTATCGTAACGTATGTCCCCCTTAAAATCATTCACCTAGTGCTTCATACATTTTTTCGTACAGCTAATAGTTTTCGAGTAATTTCAAGTTGTCAAGTTAAATAAATCACCCGGTATATTAAAATTTAAGTAGGCTACGCTACAGACCACAAAAAATTGCATCCAAATGTATTCATAATATTCTTCGATTATTAGCAGCACTAACGTTTTAATTGCCGCTTATATGTATATCGTTATATTCATATTATATACAGGGTGTTCAACATAAATCCGAGAGATAGTTGCACGCGCACTCGACAAATTTTTAAATTTAATCCTCTCAAGAATTAAGCTTCTTATGAAAAAATTTCATTCGATATTTTCCATTTATTTTTTCACGTAGAATCGCCCCCTTCACGGTTAGACTATCAGTTACGAAACAATTCTGTATATTATTAGTTACACTAATTTTATTTACTAGAACGTAAAGTAACTAATTAGTTTCTAGACTTAGTTTGTAGACTAGAATGATCGTATACCATAAAGAAAAATTCACAAGTATCGAATTTTTGTTAAATAATTATTTAAAAACATACGACGATCACTGACACTATTAAAAATATTTACGCGTTCGTGTTTCTTCCATCCCTTAACTGTCGCATTACCAATGCACAAGTCATTCAATGAAAAAATTCTCGGTTTCCATGAAACGAGCAGACAAATTTACTAATATAAAAAAAAATTCCTAAGTGCAGCGCAGTAAGCACAGGAGCAATCTGTAGAATCAACCGAAAAGTCAACACGTATCGGTAAATAACCTAGCGTAAACGTTGTTGCGGAGACGAATTAAATCGTTTTCCCAGACACGATTGGCACGCTCTCACCATCTAACTATATGCACAAATGCATGTGTATGTGTGTGTGTGTGCATACATAAGTGAATAATTGTGTATATATTGTATATATACACATCGTACCTCATCGATTCTTTCACCTTCACGAAGGTTAAAGAGTGAGATACAGCCAGCCGTTTGTAAGGATTTCATGGAAAATGACAGCCTGACGCAAACGTGTTCGTCGTAATTGTCAAAACAGGTATCAAACATTTATGCCGCGAAAATCTCACTATTAACTTAAATGAAAAAAAGTAAATATTGTTGCTGTCATTTACTTAATATTTAAAGCGCTGATGGAAGGATTTTTTATTTACATTACTTATTTTATGTAATATTGTTCCGTTTTTTTTTTTCTTTTTATTCATAGAGGAAATGTATTTATTTAATTTGTAATTTTATGATCCGTGATTATAAAACATAAAGAATTTTCATTTTTATTAAATATTAAATAAAAGGAGATATTAGTTTGTATCGATGCCCATATTCTGTTGAAGGTTGATCTTTTCGTATAAAACAAATTTAGATATTAATAACCAGATATTAATGACGGCTTATTAGTTTTAACTTTTATTACATAACTTTGGGTAATTTGTACTATACGTAATTACCTAACGACAATATTCTATGCGAAATGTTTTGATTTGCAAAACGTCCAGTTTTCTTGTCAAAATGATGAAATCTTGATAATTGGCTCGTACTATATGCTCGAAAAAAATACATTTTTTTACGCTGAACAAATTTATTCCAATACTGTAGATTTATTATCGATGAGGCAGAGTTTAACACGAGTAAACATGTCTCAAGAATACATTCAACCGCCAACATTCGTATCACATCATGTTTCATTCAGTATGGAAGCGAAAAATCCTGAGGCATAATACTGCATACCAATTAGACGATAGCAGTTCAACAGAATACAATTTAAAATTCTGGGTGTACCGAATGTTTTCTCACGAACTATAAGTTTCATACAGAGAAAATAACATAACCAATGCATTTTCGAAAGCAACAGCGTCGAATAAACAATCAAACATCCCCTTTTTCGTCTGATCTCTCGTTTTATCGGATTTGCAATTTCAATTCATTTCAAATTTGTTTACTAAAAAGGTACGATGCATAAATCAAGAGAAACACGTGTTTTCTAGAGTTCAGATACAAAAAGAGAAAATTTATGTAAAAGAGGCGCGAAGAAATTTTTAACAAAACGATGTTGCGTGAACATGATGTTAATTGGGCGCTCCAATTAGACGGTGAATTTGGCGCAACAAGAATTCGAAGTGTACCGAATATTTTCTCGTGAGCTATAAATGGAAGCAGTAACAGAACTAAGCGATATCCAGTTTTAAAATATACGTTCCGTTGTTTCTTTGATTACTGAAAAGATGAAAAAATTGTTTAGTCTGGAAGGCAAATCAATCACGATAGTGGAATTGAACTTGTTTCAGACATAAGTTGTAACAATCTTAAGGTCACCTTCACATTTCTTTTCCACTTTTTTTTTTCGTTTCTCTGTTATACTTATCTATCTTTTTTAACGGAAATATATAGATTGAGTTTATTAACAAATTCTAAACTTACTAAACGAGGTCATAATAGATAATTTCAAATAACCCATTATGAAATTAGCATGCACATAACGGTAAGACAGTTGAAAACAGTGATACTTACAATATTACGCAGTATATCTACACATTGCAGAAGATTATTAAATAAGAGTGAAAACCGCTATTATACAGACAAAACAATAGTAAATATATCGTCAAAAGACACTCCAAAATTAATCTGTAAAATCGTTTAATTTCACTAGGAAAAGAAGTAACTAGAGATAACCTCAAAATCTCCTGATTTAATGATTCTGAAAAAAGATCAGTTCCACTGTTCCGCTTTGTTTACGTCAAAACAACTTGCTTATATGCTCTGTTCAACAAACGACAGTATGTACACATGATCAAACGTTTAAATGAAACATAGCATGATACGAATAACATATTTTCGAAAGTTACACTTGTCAGCCACAACTGACCATCGTTTTCTTAGCATTTTTGACACCGCCCAGTTTCACTAATCCGCACACAATCCAGATTCTGTTTACGAGAGACGGAACGTGTAATCGGGAAGAGCACTTATTACACGCTGTCCGCTTTCTGGCATAAGAAGAGACGAAAGGGAGAGTTGGTGAAAGACAAGGAGAAAGAGATAACGCAGAGCGAGCCAGCCATACGGCGTACGTGACCGACTGCACTTCGTGAATTCCCACTCTCGTTTCGTTTTGCCCGTTTGGCGCGCGGGCTAGCCGAAAGATCGTTGCAATTTCGGGATCCTGACCTTCTCTGCCTACCATCGCTTCTCCCCTCTCCTTACACTCAACCGCCTACAAGATTAAACATTGATGCTCACAGCGCACAAGAGATCTACTTTTTCACCGATAGAGAGACACGCGCATAACGGATATAGTTCATAGAAGTTCTATGACAAATCAAGAAACGTGGCAGGCCAGCATCTCAATGACTAATTCGACTACAAGCATCATGGAAAACGAGATCTTTTTTCCTGGTTGATCGTATGGATAATTGACATCTGTATTTTTTTTACACACACAAGAAACTACTTTTCCATTGCTCTTGCATAATTCGTTTTTCGCAGTAATAGAAGGATAGTATTACGGTAATATAGAAGAAATTTAGTTTGACATTTGTTCGAAATTAATAAGAACTTTCGATATAACTTGTTACCTGACACCGATAAGAGTTTGAGAATTCAGATTTGGTAGAGATTTAATATAATTACTTAAATACATAAAAAACGTAATCTTTTAAATGTACCTGTTTTTGTACGCACAGAAGCAATATTGTTAGCTTTCTACAATAATGAAATAAACGTATAACTATTTAACAAAAAGTACCGTGATTTCTAATTGCACAAATTACGATAGTATGTAATGAAATTGAATAAAGAACGATATGTGTAATTTGTTTAATCTATTAAAATGTCGGAGTATTTAATTAATGAAAATGTACGTAATTACACTTCCCCTAATGCAATTTAAAATTTGACGTGCTCATTTGAATTTGGCGTTCTAATTTTACACCTGATATTTGATATCACGAGTTGTATGTAAGAAAGAACAATTTTCTTGCCAAAACTTATTTTAAATTAATTATTGGTTATTTGATTGTGCGTCCGAAAAATTAATATTTTACGCATAATCGTTAAACGCTAAGCTAACTTATAATTTACAATAAATAAAAAATAAAAATTTGTTCAATGAAATACTGTCACTGCTTTCAAAGCTTTGTTATTACACAAAATTAATATTCTCTTATATACTAAAAAAAGAAAAAAAATATAAAAGTGAAGTATAAACTTTAATGTATGCAAATTTAGAAAAACGTTTATATTTACTAATAGACATTAATACATATTTAATTAATAAACTTAGAAATGCCCCTTTATCATGTAACTAGTGTAAACATAAATTGTAACAAAACTGATTTGCTACAAAGTATAAATGAAGTATAATGCTAACATGTGCTTGTCACATGTTGTTGTCTTTGATATCACGAAAATTCAGTTATGTATCAAATATAGTACATTAGTAACAATGTGTTTGTGCTTACCTTTGTTCTTCCATTGATTGTGTAGTTTCCCATTTTCCCATTGTTACACATCTTATTTGCCCTCATAATGACGGCATCTACTTGGGATATGAGCATTCCAATATTCTGACATTGTTTTTCTTTTCCATCTAGCCACGTTATTTTATCACCACGTATAGTCTTTATGTCTTTTGCACCTGCTTTATTAGAAACCAACTGTCCATCCATAAATAATCCAGCACTGTACATATTTAAAACTTCGTTTAACACTGCAAAACCTTTCTCTGCTCCTAGAAAATTGTCTACCACACACATACCATATTCATCCATGTCTTTAATCACATCTTTGCTTATATCATCTATTATTTCTTCACGATTATTTTTATTTTTATGGAGAAAAGGTGGTAGAAGTTCTTCTTCACAAGTCAAACGAACCTCTGGGAAATTCTTCATACCGTTATGATGTTGTATAGGCATATCTAATTCATTGTCTTCTAGGTTATCAAGAATTCTTGAGGTTTCTAGGGCAGGATTCAATGATTCTGTTTCAGCACATAGGATTGTGTCTTCAGAACTTCCTTCATACGTTATTGGAGAAGTCCATCCATCAACTCTGCTGGTACGAGTACCTTTTGTCTTAGTACTATTTGATTTCCTCTTAGGATTTTGGCTTTCTTTATGTTCTAATTGTCCCTTTCCTTTTTCTGTCTGTTTGCTAATTCCTGCAAACAATATAATCACACAAATAATGTTTAATCAAAGTAGGCAAAACAAATAAGAAGTAAAGAGATGATGCTACCACATTAATTTTATAAGGTGCTACATACAGTTTACTAGTAGAATATGTATAATAAAACACTAAGCGAAGAATAAGCTATCACTTAATGAATCTCTTTGTAGAAGGAGATATTAACTCCATATTAAATTTTTACATGTACACAATCCTGATAGCAAAATGTTTCACAAGGAATGAGATGAAAATAAAATGAAATTTTATGTACCTCCAAGGTGTTTTGTGTTATGATGCACTTCTGGAGCAGCGTTCGATTCTCGCGTTGTTTCCAACACTGACTTCTTGCTTAGGTTAGAAACCACTGGTACAGTTGAAATCTGGCAGTTCCTAAGGGAAGAATCCTTCTTGGCAGATTGCAGAGTGGAATTTTGATTAGCGGTTGAAACTGTATCTGATACGATCGATTGCACGGAATGAGTCGCACAAAATTCTTTATGACGTTTCCAATCCCGCCTCTGGTGTTCTTTGGTGCAATAGAAGACGGCCTTGCATCTCGAACACCTTAACAGCTTGTCAGTCCTATTACAAACTACACAGCCCACAGTTGCACCTATTTGAACATCACCGCCGGGTGTCTGCGCACGACTGACTATCGGTCCGGACATGTTTCGTCGTTTATTTCGCGGCCACGAGTGCCGACGACATTTCTCCAACGAGGGAAGTCACACACGCACTCAATTTGCGTACGGTACTACCGCGCTATCAGGAGTCCGCAGTGCTTATACGTACGATTGCGCTTGCTTTACATACTACATATGTACATGTATCGAATCTACAAAACAGCTATTGGCGAAACGGTGATCAAAACACCGATCCTTAATGTCCGTTTGTTCTTACTACGCGTGTACGTAGTTGCGCATGCATATAGTCATGCATCAATATATCGTACCACACTGCATCGACTTCTTTCTTTGAAAATTCATTTAAAAGTTAGATTTGCATTTACTGTCTTGCCCGTTCACTGTCCATGAGAGAGCGCCACTTTATAGCCACGTTTTTGCAATCAAGAACATAATGAGTTACATTTTACAATTTAAAAAAATGGTCATTGTGAGTTTCATCTTGAAACGGTTTTTATGATGTTATACAATACGTCGGTGTAAAAATATTTCAAAGAAAAATATATTATTCGGTACATAAAGTGAACTGATTTAAATATAAATAAATGTAGACACAGTTATTGATGTAATTTTACGCTGCGTTCTAGCTGCAAACAAGCGAATACACAATAATTCAACACATTTATCTGAAATAAACAAGTGTAAATAAAGTAATAAGTATTGCAATGTAATACAAGCTCTGTATATATCATAAAACGTATTAAAAACAGCAAATTTGTATATATTTATTTATTATACACATTACTTTTTGATATATTTATGTATTCTGCACTGGAGTTTTATTTCTAATATATTTTCTGTATTTTGGTTATTAAAATAGCAATAAAGATATAAAATTTAGTTTTTTTTTTTTTGTACGGAAAAGCAATTGTTTCCATAGTTACGATATCCACGTTTATATCAAAACATTACATACTGTGTGTATGTTAGACAGTTAAGTAGTTAAAACTTCATAGTGTAGACAATTGTTTAGATTTTGTGAATAAAAAAAAAGTTATTCTAAGACAATGAGTACTTTCATACAAAATGTGCATATTAAAGATGGAGAATATACAAAAACTATTTATTCAATGGTAGAATACACATTTATATGAGATGCATTCTATTATGTTATTATTTAATTTCCAAAAATAAAAAAATTGTATAACTACTTTTGAATGTTTTCAATTATTACTATTAATGCTTAAATTGTGTGCATATAGTAAAATAAAATTATAGTTTCCAATGATAATTTTGTGGATGTTAATTAAATAAATACAACACAAAATTTTATTTTGCAGATAAAGGAACAACGATATGCAGAAACAATAAAAGTTTTAACTGCACTTTTAGACTTTTACCCCACTGTATGTATGATTGCATTGAAATATTAATTTCTTTATAAATAAATAGTTTCATGCATTATACATATTTGATAAATTACTTTACAGTCCAGACCTTGTTTGTCTCTCCTTGCTCACTGTTATTTTTATACGCAAGATTTTATAGCTTCTGCACAATGTTATGAAAAATTAGTTCAATTATGTCCAGATGAATGTATATATAAATTATATCATGCTCAATCTTTACATCAAGCATGTATGTACCAAGAGGCTTGGACAATATGTTCCAGTATTATTAATCAAAGCAATTTAGAATTTAAAGTAAAAAAGCTACAGGCAGCAATAAAGTATGGACAAGAAGATATTGTTGCTGCAAAAAATCTTGTTGATCAATGTCCAACAGATGATGTTGATACAGAAATTAATTTAGGGTGTCTGTTATATAAGGTATCAAAAGTATAAAAGAAATGTAAGGATTCTCATATAAAAACATTATCTGACTTATTCTTTTCTCTTTTGTAGGAAGAGCAATATGAACAAGCTTTAAAAAAATTTGCAAATGCATTGCAAATTGCAGGTTTTAAGCCACATTTATCATATAATGTTGCACTTTGTTACTTCAAATTAAAAGAATATGCTGCATCATTAAAACATATTGGTAAAAGTTATATTATTATTAAGTATTAAGCCTTATAAGTTGAATTAATTTAGTACAATTTTTATATCAATGTGTTATGTTAGCTGATATTATTGAACAAGGAATAAGGGAACATCCAGAATTAGGAGTGGGCATGACAACAGAAGGTATTGAAGTACGCAGTGTTGGAAATACATTGACACTTCATGAAACAGCTTTGACAGAAGCATTTAACTTGAAAGCAGCCATAGAATATCAATTACAAAATTGTAATTATATACTACAAATTTTAGTTTTCTATAATACATTTAGTATTTTATAATCCTCATTTGCCATTTCTAGATGAAGCAGCAAAAGAAGCATTAACAGATATGCCTCCCAGGTCTGAAGAAGAATTGGATGCTGTTACTTTGCATAATCAAGCTTTAATAAATATGGATATAAAGCCAAGTGAAGGATTTGAGAAACTTCAGTTTTTACTACAACAAAATCCATTTCCACCTGAAACTTTCGCAAATTTATTACTATTATATTGCAAATATCAATATTATGATTTAGCGGCTGATGTTCTTGCTGAAAATGTACATTTGACTTATAAATATTTAACATCAGTAAGTATGATCTTTATTATTGGAGTATTATATGTGTTGTGAATAGTACCTCAAAGAACATTTAAAGATATTTTAACGATTTTAAAAATTATAAAATTAACATTCAAATTAGTTTTGAATTCTAAAGTTATATAATGGTTTATTCATCTGCATGTTTACTTTTTGAATGTTTACATTTCTTTGTACGTTTTTCCGAACTTTCTGAATGCTTTCTTTTATGAGCTTTAACATCATGACTAGAAAAACTTCCACTGGAGCTTTCATCATTAGAACTATCATACTTCTTTTTTGCCTTTTTTTGGTCTTTAGAATATTTTTTCTTTTTCTTTTTAACTACTTCTTTTTCACCAGAATCACTATTGTCTGTACCTTCTTTCAATTTTTTGGCTTTCTTTTTCTTTTTTAATTTCTTTTGTTTATGTTTTTTCTCTTTCTTGCTTGTCTCCATTTGTGTCTGAACTGTAATTTCATCTTCAATTTCTGGTATTAATTCATATTTTTTTCCATCAGGACTCATAAAACAGTCTTTAGATAAATGACCAGCAGTCCCACATTTTGTACATGTAGTGTTAAGAATTGCTTCTAGGTGTATAGCTTTACGTTCATATTTTTCTATAGTTTTTTTCTTCTGTGTATCTCTTTGTAACTGCACCCCATTTGGATCTAAATCAGTACCACTTCCCTGATTTACATATTTCATAGAAAGTCCTATTTTACCATCATCTCCCACAGAAATAACTTTACACCATACACGTTCCCCTTTTTGCAAAACCTCTGCCACATTATCGACATGAACAGAGCTTACC